GAGGTGAAAGTGTATAAACTAAGGGAGGAGGAAGTTCAGGTGAGATACAAGCGACTATTGGCAGAAAGGTGGGCTAGTGCAAAGATGAGTAGTGGGGGGGTTGAAGAGGGTTGGAATAGTTTTAAAAATGCAGTATTAGAATGTGGGGCAGAAGTTTGTGGTTATAGGAGGGTGGGGGCAGGAGGAAAGAGGAGTGATTGGTGGAATGATGAAGTAAAGGGTGTGATAAAAGAGAAAAAGTTAGCTTATAAGAGGTTTTTACAAAGCAGAAGTGTTATAAGAAGAGCAGAGTATATGGAGAGTAAAAGAAAGGTGAAGAGAGTGGTGAAAGAGTGCAAAAGGAGAGCAGATGGTAGAGTGGGAGAGGCACTGTCAAGAAATTTTAATGAAAATAAGAAAAAATTTTGGAGTGAGTTTAACAAGTTAAGAAAGCCTAGGGAAAGTATGGAGTTGTCAGTCAAAAACAGAGTAGGGGAGTTAGTAGATGGGGAGAGGGAGGTATTAGGTAGATGGCGAGAATATTTTGAGGAACTTTTAAATGTTGAGGAAGAAAGGGAGGCGGTAATTTCATGCACTGGCCAGGGAGGTATACCATCTTTTAGGGGTGAAGAAGAGCAGAATGTAAGTGTGGGGGAGGTATGTGAGGCATTACGTAGAATGAAAGGGGGTAAAGCAGCTGGAATTGATGGGATCATGACAGCAATGTTAAAAGCATGGGGGGATATAGTGTTGGAGTGGTTGGTACTTTTGTTTAATAAATGTATGAAAGAGGGGAAGGTACCTAGGGATTGGCGGAGAGTATGTATAGTCCCTTTATATAAAGGGAAAGGGGACAGAAGAGATTATAAAAATTATAGAGGAATAAGTTTACTGAGTATACCAGGAAAAGTGTACGGTAGGGTTATAATTGAAAGAATTAGAGGTAAGACAGAATGTAGGATTGCGAATGAGCAAGGATGTTTCAGAGTGGGTAGGGGATGTGTAGATCAAGTGTTTACATTGAAGCATATATGTGAACAGTATTTAGATAAAGGTAGGAAAGTTTTTATTGCATTTATGGATTTAGAAAAGGCATATGATAGTGGATAGAGGAGCATTGTGGCAGATGTTGCAAGTATATGGAATAGGTGGTAAGTTACTAAATGCTGTAAAGAGTTTTTATGAGGATAGTGAGGCTCAGGTTAGGGTGTGTAGAAGAGAGGGAGAGTACTTCCCGGTAAAAGTAGGTCTTAGACAGGGATGTGTAATGTCACCGTGGTTATTTAATATATTTATAGATGGGGTTGTAAAAGAAGTAAATGCTAGGGTGTTCGGGAGAGGGGTGGGATTAAATTATGGGGAATCAAATTCAAAATGGGAATTGACAGTTACTTTTTGCTGATGATACTGTGCTTATGGGAGATTCTAAAGAAAAATTGCAAAGGTTAGTGGATGAGTTTGGAAATGTGTGTAAAGGTAGAAAGTTGAAAGTGAACATAGAAAAGAGTAAGGTGATGAGGGTATCAAACGATTTAGATAAAGAAAAATTGGATATCAAATTGGGGAGGAGGAGTATGGAAGAAGTGAATGTTTTCAGATACTTGGGAGTTGACGTGTCAGCGGATGGATTTATGAAGGATGAGGTTGATCATAGAATTGATGAGGGAAAAAAGGTGAGTGGTGCGTTGAGGTATATGTGGAGTCAAAAAACGTTATCTATGGAGGCAGAGTAGGTAATGTATGAAAGTATAGTAGTACCAACACTCTTATATGGATGTGAATCTTGGGTGGTAAATGCAGCAGCAAGGAGATGGTTGGAGGCAGTGGAGATGTCCTGTCTAAGGGCAATGTGTGGTGTAAATATTATGCGGAAAATTCGGAGTGTGGAAATTAGGAAAAGGTGTGGAGTTAATAAAAGTATTAGTCAGAGGGCAGAAGAGGGGTTGTTGAGGTGGTTTGGTCATTTAGAGAGAATGGATCAAAGTAGAATGACATGGAAAGCATATAAATCTATAGGGGAAGGAAGGCAGGGTAGGGGTCGTCCTCGAAAGGGTTGGAGAGAGGGGGTAAAGGAGGTTTTGTGGGCAAGGGGCTTGGACTTCCAGCAAACGTGCGTGAGCATGTTAGATAGGAGTGAATGGAGGCGAATGGTACCTGGGACCTGACGATCTGTTGGAGTGTGAGCTGGGTAATATTTAGTGAAGGGATTCAGGTAAACCGGTTATTTTCATATAGTCGGACTTGAGTCCTGGAAATGGGAAGTACAATGCCTGCACTTTAAAGGAGGGGTTTGGGATATTGGCAGTTTGGAGGGATATGTTGTGTATCTTTATACGTATATGCTTCTAAACTGTTGTATTCTGAGCACCTCTGCAAAAACAGTGATAATGTGTGAGTGTGGTGAAAGTGTTGAATGATGATGAAAGTATTTTTCTTTTTGGGTATTTTCTTTCTTTTTTGGGTCACCCTGCCTCGGTGGGAGAAGGCAGACTTGTTGAAAAAAAAAGAAAAAGTAATGAGTGTACTGTACTGTATGCATTTTATCGCTTTAGGCTGCTTTAAGTGTCATAGTATATTATGAGTGGGTGGGGTGGGCTGACCAGGCTGGCTACCATACATCCCACACCTGACTTCCTACAAATAAATATGTAATACTCACCTCTCACCCTACATTAAGGCTACAAATATTTTAAGGTAAGTAATGAGTGTACTGTGTGTGCATTTTACTTTTTATTGTTTTTTTAATGTCTAGTTCTATTGCTAACTTAGTATATGTTTGTGTAAACTTATATGCTTTTATAAGTGGAAAAAATGGTGTTCTGCTTTCTGGTGGTAGCCAGAAAGCAGAATGCCATTGTGAACAGTATTTAGATAAATGTAGGGAGGTTTTCATTGCATTTATTGATTTAGAAAAGGCATATGATAGGGTGGGTAGGAGAGCAATGCGGGAGATGTTGCAAGTGTATGGAATAGGTAGTAAGTTATTAAATATTGTAAAGAGTTTTTGAGGATAATGAGGCTCAGGTTAGGGTGTGTAGGAGAGAGGGAGACTACTTCCCAGTAAAAGTAGGTCTTAGACAGGCATGTATAATGTCACCATGGTTGCTTAGCATATTTATGGATGGGGTTGTAAAAGAAGTGAATGCTGGGGTGTTGGGGAGAGAGGTGGGATTAAATTATGGGGAATCAAATACAAAATGGGAGTTGACATCTACTTTCTGATGATGATACTGTTCTTTTGGGAGATTCTAAAGAAAAGTTACAAAGGTTAATGGATGAGTTTGGGAGGGTGTGTAAAGGAAGAAAGTTGAAAGTGAACATAGATAAGAGGGATGAGGGTATCAAGCGATGTAGATAAAGAAAAACTGGATATCACATTGGAGGGAGGGAGTATGAAAGAAGTGAATGTGTTCAGATATTTGGGAGTTGTCAGCAAATGGGTTTATGAAAGATGAGGTTAACCCTAGAATTGATGAAGGAAAAAAGGTGAGTTGTGCTTTGAGGTATCTGTGGAGACAAAAAACATTGTCCATGGAGGCAAAGAAGTGAATGTACAATAGTGGTACCAACACATCTATGGGTTGTGTAAGAATGGTATATAATACCGACAAGATGAAATTAAGACACATGTGCAACATCTGGGTATCTTTATTGTAGACGTTTCGCCATCCAGTGGCTTTATCAATACAAATTCTAGGACATAACTTGAAGACAGTAGAACTATGTCGGTATTATATACCATTCTTACACAACTTGTCAGACACTGTAACATCATGGAATCTTGATTCTGAGGACATGTACATAACCTTCACGGCTATGACAACTACTACTACAACTAACCCATCTCTTTGGGAAGGACCTACTTCCACTGGGGAATCCCGCCTACCAGTGACTATGCCCTCGTCTGCTTCACCTGAAGTTACTATATAAGCGCCAGGCTCCTTTCTTCTGCTTCAAAATCTCCACAACTATGGTGCTCTTCGCACCTTCTCCTAGGTTGAGGGACTGATTACCTCATCTTCTGTACATAGTTCTACTGTCTTCAAGTTATGTCCTAGAATTTGTATTGATAAAGCCACTGGATGGCAAAACGTCTACAATAAAGATACCCAGATGTTGCACATGTGTCTTAATTTCACATCTATGGGTGTGGAGCATGGGTTGTAAATGCTGTAGCAAGGAGGCGGTTGGAGGCAGTGGAGATGTTGTGTCTAAGGGCAATGTGTGGTGTAAATATTATGCAGAGAATTTGTAGTGTGGAAATTAGGAGGTGTGTAGTTACTAAAAGTATTAATCAGAGGGCTGAAGAGGGGTTTTTGAGGTAGTTTGGTCATTTAAAGAGGATGGAACAAAGTAGAATGACTCGGAGAGTGTACAAGTCTGTAGTAGAAGGAAGGTGGGGTAGGGGTCATCCTAGGAAAGGGTGGAGGGAGGGGAATACAGGAGGTTTTGTGGATGAGGGATTTAGACCTCTAGCAAATGTGCATGAGTGTGTTAGGAGTGAATGGAGACGAATGGTTTCTTGGACCTGATGAGCTGTTGGAGTGTGAGCAGGGTAATATTTTGTGAAGAGATTCAGGAAAACCAGTTAGCCGGACTTGAGTCCTGGAGATGGGAAATACAATGCCTGCACTTTATAGGAGGGGTTTGGGATACTGGCTGTTTGAAGTGAATTATAAACTGTCGTATCTGGGTGCCTCTGCAAAGACAGTGATTACATATGAATGATGGTGAAAGTGTTTTTTTTTTTCTTTTTGGGTCACCCTGCCTCAGTGGGAAATTGCTGTCATGTTAAAAAAAATTATACAGTCCTTTATATTGTTGATGCTTTTATTTAAGCACTTTAGAGGGAGCACCTTGATGCTAGTGAAGTGTTCCTGATCAGAGGAAATGGACCCACTCTTCCCTTTGATCAAACCTAATTACCTCATATTTCACAGGCAGTGTGACCCTTGCAAGTTTAGTGCTTCTCAGTGAATATATGGTAATATTCAAGTTAAACATCCCCCCTCCACACACAGGAATGCAAGCCAAATAGCAGTGCTGCACGATGGCATCATCGGTGAGATGGGCTCCTATAACAAACTGATGATGGAGCCAAACGGTATCTTCCGGAAGCTAGTGGATAGGCAGACTATCACTAGTTAAAAGCTTTGATAAGGTTGGCATATTGAACAAACTCTTGGAATTAAAGTTCCTAAATTTGTATTTAAATTTATAAACCTAGTCAAAAAAAATTTATTTTTGAATAAGTTACTGTTTTGTTTTTATTAAATTACTTGTATGAAATTTTGTCTTGTTAATACATTGCATCTGGAATAATTTACTTGTAAATAATACTGTAATTTCTAATTTGTATCTTTTATAATTCATTATAAAGAAATCTAACACACACTAAGCAATATTAGGACATTTATTAAGAAGATTGTTTGCCTGTGAGTTTATTTTTTTTTTTAATCCAATATAGAAACATGAAGGATTATATACATGTATAAGTACAAGGTCAGATGCTGCATGTGGGGGTGGAGTTACCTGATGGCTGTTTGGTTTGGCAGGATGAAGTTGGCAAGAACCTCTGAAATCATAAAGCTGCCATTAATTTTGTGTGATATTGATAGTGGCAATCTAAACAGCTTGAGGTGCTGATCAGTTTCACCTGATAACAAATTTACTATCTTTGAAATTCAAGGTGTACAGGAAACCTACAAAGATGACCTGTTACTCTTCTTATGCAAGGATAAAGGTATCATTATAGGATTCTCATGAAATGATAGAGAATCTTTTTCCATAAATAATGAAACCAAAAGTACGAAATTTGATGGAAAACTCACGGAATTACTCGGTCTCGGCGATATTTACGCATCAGCGATTTTGCCCACTTTGAGCCCTATTTTGAGCCAATTCTAATGTTGCAGTCAACCAAACTCATAGCTATTTTGCTAGTACTCCTTTTATTCTATCGATTGAGTACAGGAAACTGCCCATTTACTTATTTCAACTCCCTAATAGTGATCAGAAATTGGTAATTTGTCTAATTTTGCACAAAATTCAAGAAAGGCCAGTTTCAAAATAGGGTCTAGAATAAACAATGCAGACATTCCTGGTACTAAAACAACATTTTTTCTGTTTAATAATCATGTCTCCAGCCCCTTCTTATACGCTTACTTTCCATTTTTAATTTTTATTCACACAAAAAATAAAGATTTACTGTTATGCAGACTGTTGCATTATTATAATTGTATAAATAATATCAGTGCATTCATGAATGCACATTAGACCCACCAGTTTATGTGCATTGGACGCATGACAATTTGTTTCCTCTTGAACATCAGCAAAAATTGAACATTTTCGCTACTTTGAGCTCAGTTTCAAGCTACTTTGTCCCAAAACCAAACAAAATAATCTCTATTTCTGTAGTATATCTTCCATTCTATCGAATGAGATCAAGAAAATGAGAATACAACCGTAAAATCCATACGAAAATACACCCAAAGTTGCTGTTTTACACCAAACCCAGCACTCTGTGCTGCAGAATATTTTTTATATGATGCACTCTTACCGCATAGACCCGTTCTCTCATTTCTGGGCCCAAATTTACCACTCACGGCTTATCTATAAGCAAGTTGAGCTCATGGTATCATACTACAGGACCGGCACTGGCTTCAAAGCTGTAATATAATGGGACCAAGACCGAAAGGGTTAAAGAGGAATATAACTGTATACACCACGCATTTTCTAAATTTCAATACCCAGCACATTTCATTAAAAACTGTAGGAAAAAATTAATAGAATCCACTCTGACAAATTCTTAGTACTGTACTAATAGTTATGCAGGTTTTGGACAATCCAGTCTTGTTGCCAAGAGTAAAACCAGCATAATCAGCATCCAGCACAATCAAGAATTTAGCAGCCAAGAAATACATAAGAAACTACTGGCATCTATACCATATTATGTGGTAGATGTCACAAACTATAAGTAGTAGAGACTTTCAGAACTTCAGAACAATACATGAGGGAACACCAGTATGCATGTCAAAATGACTTTAAAAATGCCTGCACTATTTACCGGCACTCAAACAAACAAATCTCAAAGACACCAAATTAGTTACCAGGGATACTGACTAACATCACAATCTGTTTAGAACCTGCTCTTTGTGCCACTACCATCACAGAATTCTGGCAGTCTTATGATTTACAATGCTCTCGCTAGGCTTATCTCTGCAGGGCAGCGCTGTGTGACCCTTGTGGGTTTAGTGCTTGGTAATGATTATAATAATCTTTGAAGGGGAGGTGCCTTAATGCTAGTAAGGTCTCTGCATCTAAAGAACTGAACTTATCCTCCCTTTTCTTGGATCAAATCTAATTGTCTCAGTTTCCCCAGGTGCTACATGACCTGTATACATTTAGTACTTCCTCTGATTAAAAATAAAAATAACCAGGCTCATCCTGAACACATCCATGGAGTAGCTCTGTACCCACATATAGCACCCACCAACATTTCATCTATTGATAACAAAAACAAAAAAAAAAAAAAAAAGGCACAATACCGTGACTGGAACAATACACAAATAACCCGCACATAGAAGAGAGGAGCTTACGATGACGTTTCGGTCCGACTTTGACCATTTACAAAGTCACACTACCACCTCCTGCCTGTATATACCCTTCCTGCTTTCCTTTTCGTTAGTGTGACTTTGTAAATGGTCCAAGTCAGACCGAAATGTCGTTGTAAGCTCCTCTCTTCTATGTGCGGGTTATTTGTGTATTTCATCTATTAGACATGTACTTGTATATTGTTTTCTGTATTGGCTTGAAAAATCCCTTAGCAGGAGAAACATCTCTTCAATAAATGTCTTAATACCAATATTGTCTTGTACACTTGTTGGTGTTGATACACCATGGACTGGTAGGCGATTAGGATAAAAGATTATTGACTGTTATGACATTGTACTTGTATTAAGCTATATTTTTGGACAATATTGATTTTGCAGAAAGTCAGCCCTGTAAGTAAAGGACAACTTGAATTTTCTATTAAAATATTAGTCAATGGACTGATGATGAAGCTTGAGTTTTTTTCATACCTTATTGAACATATTTTGCCTTTAACGTAAAAAAAATAGTTTTACTAGTTCGTGAAGTTCTTATCGAGTATTATAAATCACAAGTGCTAATTATTATTATTCGTGGGGTTGGGAGAGGGGTTATACATCACCTGGTGAAATGAGAAGCAATCTGGTTCAATCCTGTTTTTTTTTTTTATAATAATAATAATGGTTCAATCCTAGAAAGGGCAAGTTTGTCAATTCCCTGGGCCAACAGACCCTCTCAGGTGTCAAGAAACCTCTCAAATGTGTCCTTGTTTAAATAGGCTTTGCCAAGTCGAGATCCTTGTCGATTTAGCACTTTCTCTGATTATAATAATAATTTGTGAATGGTGCATTGAGGTATATGTGGAGGCAAAAAACATTATCTATGGAGGCAGAGAAGGGAATGTATGAAAGTATAGTAGTACCAACACTCTTATATGGGTGTGAAGCTTGGGTTGTGAATGCAGCAGCGAGGAGGTGGTTGGAGGCAGTGGAGATGTCCTGTCTGAGGGCAATGTGTGGTGTAAATATTATGCAGAAAATTCGGAGTGTGGAAATTAGGATAAGGTGTGGAGTTAATAAAAGTATTAGTCAGAGGGGTGAAGAGGGGTTGCTGAGGTGGTTTGGTCATTTAAAGAGAATGGATCAAAGTAGAATGACATGGAGAGCATTTAAATCTGTAGGGGAAGGAAGGCGAGGTAGGGGTCATCCTCGAAAAGGTTGGAAGGAAGGGGTAAGGGAGGTTTTGTGGGCGAGGGGCTTGGACTTTCAGCAGGCGTGCGTGAGTGTGTTCGATAGGAGTGAATGGAGACGAATGATATTTGGGACCTGACGATCTGTTGGAGTGTGAGCAGGGTAATATTTAGTGAAGGAATTCAGGGAAACCGGTTATTTTTATATAGCCGGACTTGAGTCCTGGAAATGGGAAGTACAATGCCTGCACTCTAAAGAAGGGGTTCGAGATATTAACAGTTTGGAGGGATATGTTGTGTATCTTTATATGTATATGCTTCTAAGCTGTTGCCCCTTTAGGGACAACCACAACTTTTGTCATGCTTAAACTGAAGCCTCTGTAGATAAAAAAAAATACTAATATGCACTGCACTGACAGGTTTCCTGTGCCATTGGTGCTGCAGTTGCAGAGAACTGTTCCCTGTCTGGCATGAATGCCAACACTTTAGAAGGAAAGATTGTTATATGTATGACTTGCATGGATTTAGCTCATTTTTTAATATGTACAGTACCATGTAATAAACTCAAAGGGATTATTACACAGTATGCTGGTTCTGGATCCAAGGAACTGGAGCTACCCTCCCCTTGGATCAAGTCTGACTACTTTCCATTGCCCATGTGCCATATGACCCCATGAATTTAGCACTTTATAATGAATTAAAAACAATTTGACCAAGATGAAACAGGCTTCAGAGGAAATGTAACATAGTTCAATGACAGCTACAATGCTCTAAAATAGTCTCCTGGAAATCCTTCCCTATTTATTTTCATAATCTAAGAATTATTTGATCCTTCCAAGGGGTGCCCTGATTCTCTAAGGAATTCTAGCTGCTACTCTTCCTTGGATCAAACCTGATACCTTCCATTACCAAAGCAATGTGCTTCCCTGTGAATGTATTTCAAATTAAATTTTTCATACAGGTACTTCGTCATGCCTTGCCTGCTCCTGTAGCAAGTCTTCATCCTCTGAGAAGCAGTTTGCATGGAGGAAACATTCAAATTGCCTAACATCTATATCATTATATTCATGCATACATGATCCCTATGGGTTTGGTGCTCCCAAAAATTTAATTCCATTCACACAGTACCTGGGGAATGGGAGGTAATCAGGTTCAATCCAAGGAAGGGGAGGACAGTTCCAGTTCCTAGCATTATTATAATTATATACAGGGAGGGGAAGTGCTCAGCTTGTAAGGGTCATACAGCACCTGGAGGAAAGGGAGGCAGTCATGGATAATTCACGGAAGTTTAGAATTGAGAATCCCTTCACCAGCATCAAGGTACTTCTTTTTGAAGGGCCAATTCCTTGCATCAAGAAACCTCCCATGACTGGATGACTAAGTCAAAAGGGGGTAAATGTCTTTAGTGGCAGCACTTTAATCTATTTCTCTGATTTGCAAAGAAAATATATTTTATCTCCTATAATACATTTTTATCACTTTCATTCAGCACTGTATGACCCTTGAGTGTAGCACTTCATTGACTGCAATAATATCACTTTTATTTGTCTGGTATATTCCTCAACCTTGCCCATTGTACACACATTAAAAAATACTAAGCTGCTTATGAATACTATAGTTAGAAAGAATGCAAAGTAATTCTTAGAAACACACCCTGCATTACCCACTTTTACAGAAGAATTTCCCTTTATGGGTATAATCATTTACAATTATAGTGAGGGCTCTGTCCAAATAACTAGAGCAGCTGCTACCCCTTCCTTGAATCAAATCTGATTACTATACCTCTCATTCTATGGGTTTAGCACTTCCTGTGAATATAATACAAATGACATGTTAAGACTATCACATGGTACAAAAATCAATCAAATTTGACAAAGATCCATTTTATTGTTAAGGTATAACACCTGTTATAAATTTTAATGTATTCTGTTACTCAAGTTGCAGATTGCAAAATAATAATTTGAGTTTTACACTATAATACATTTATATTAACACCTAATTTTCTTTGCTTCATGAAACTCCATAGCTATGCTGCAAACTGCCCCGCTGTTTTCTGTAACCTATTAATCATCCCTCCCCCCTTCTGCCGCCCGATACCCTCGCTTTCTTCCCTACCCTGCAGCGCTGTATAGCCCTTGTGGCGTAGCGCTTCTTTTTGATTATAATAATAATATGCTGCAAAGTCATTCAGACATTTTGTTGGAGATGGCATAATCAACATGGAAGTGAATAAAAAGGTTAATATAGAACATAGCAATATGAACACAACAAACAATAGCCTAAACTGATTTAAATTTCCTAGTCATTTTTTTTATTTCTGTCACTCTTCCACTCAGTGTATGCTATCCATTATAAAGATTCATAATATATGTAATATACTTAATACATTTTTAATAGAAATTACAAAAAAAAAAAAAATATATTCACCTTTAGCAAAATTTAGCCTAAAGTATCTTAAAACAATCCTGCAATTATAATAAGTTTTACAATTAATGACAGAGTAATCTACCTCTGACAAGTTCACTAACCAGAGAGTGAGATATGCATAAAAATCTTCACTTACAAAAAAGTCGCTTCACAAAGTCTGTACCAGAAAATAGTCAAATGGGGGCAAAAGTAACTTCGTAGATGAATGGGGTTCAGAGAACCGACAAGTTGATAAATTAGACACATGTGCAACTCTTGGGTATCTTTATTGAGGAAACGTTTCGCCACACAGTGGCTTCATCAGTCCATACATAGGAGAAACTTGAAGAACAGGAGGAGAATGAGGTAATCAGTCCCTCAACCTTGAGTCGATGTGTTCAGTCCATCAATCTTGAATCTAGTCAAGATTGTTGGACTGAACACATCGACTCAAGGTTGAGGGACTGATTACCTCATTCTCCTCCTGTTCTTCAAGTTTCTCCTATGTATGGACTGATGAAGCCACTGTGTGGCGAAACGTTTCCTCAATAAAGATACCCAAGAGTTGCACATGTGTCTAATTTATCAAAAGTAACTTCATTATCCCAAAAATATTTTTTGCTGGTTATTAGAAGGGACTAAAATTATGTTGTTAAGTAACCCATTTAAATAAATGAAATAAAAACAACTTTTATATATATAGTATTAAAGGTTAAAAGAGATATGAAGTAATGGAAGCAAAACAATGTAAGACACACTCATAGCTGAGTAGTAAAGAGCTTGTAATTTGTATCCCTGAAACATTACAATGACTATATATGAAAATTTGGAAATGTGGGCCATATATATGGAAAGTATATGGAAGGGAATGAATTAAGGATGGAAATGTGCTTCACTTTGTCTTGCTCACAAAAAGAGATGTGAAGGCTTGACTGATAAACTGAAGCATGTCTGTTGTTAGTGTTCCTCGACCACGCTGTGTGAACGCCAGACCTGAAGCTCGACGAGTTAAAGCACATGCACCCCAAGCAGCCACTACTGTGGGTGGATAAGGTGGCTTTTCTGTTGAGGCAGCTGCTGTGCCAAATGCCCAGTACAGGAAGATCGCAGCAGCACCACTGAGTACATCACCTTGACCACCACAACGTCTTGGTGAACCAGGTATCTCACAAGTAATGACAGTATCTCCTGAAGCAATTATATCTGTATTACCCTTACATACAATAGTAACACCTAACTTCTTAGCCACTTGCTGAACATGATCAGATGTCACCTGCTCAGCCTTCATTTCTCCCTTCATAACTGCTCGGTACAGACGTGCAAATTCCACTTTATTTGGGGTTAGAATAGCATTGCTATATCCCTGCAAAGTGTCATAATTTTCATTCAAGTAGAAAAGGGCATCGGCATCAATGATAAGCAACAACTGACGATCCTTGGCCGCTTCAATTACATGGCCCAAAGTAGCAAATGTCTGTGGTCGTCTTCCAAGGCCAGGACCCAATACTAAGGCATGAAGACGGGGTAACCATTCATCCAATTCAGACATTGGATCATTAGCATCTAGCAAGGGATGAACAATCAGCTCAGGGGAATATGACTTTAAGGGTACAGCTGCATCACGATGACAAAAGATGTGAGTTAAATCTGCACCAATGCGTAGAGCAGTCATAGCACAAAAGTAAGGTGCGCCTGTATATTCTAAGGATCCACCCATGATGCCAATTCGACCAGCTTGGCCTTTGTGTGCTGCATATGTCAGAGGTGGCACCACCTCTGACACTAAGCCTGTTAACTGTGGCCCATTGACTGACATCCTGCGAACCACCTCTAAACACCTGAAACAAATCAGAAAATATAAGTGGATAGATAATCAGAAACATTGAATTTAAAAGGATATTTGATTGAAGAGAACAAAATACATGTATGTTAAAAGAGCTTGCCCAAAACTGAGGAAAAGTTCCATGATAAATGTGCTAGTATGAACCTGTCCTCATGACACATACCATCAAAGAAAACTAATTCTCAAGTACAGTGGAACCTTGACTTACTAATGTCCCAACGTACGAGTTTTTTGAGATACGAGCTGTCGCTCTGTCGATTTTTTGCTCTGAGTTACGAGCCACCATCTGAGTTACAAGCCAGCTCCCCCCCACTTCCCCCTCAACCCAAAACCTGCACACCTCGCTTGTTTATCTATGATTTCATGCTTTAATTCCATGGAAATCATCCTCTTTTTCTTCTCAGCACTGTCCTTTACACTTACTTTCTTAGGACCTATGCTTAGAAAAATGAAATTTGGCCAAATGACTAAAAAATGTAAGCAAAGCATGAGAGAAATATTCCCACATCAAGGTAAACAGTGCATTGAGTTGGTGGCATTCTGAAGCTTTTATTATTATTGCTGTTATTTTATTATTATTATTATTAATATTATTATTATTATTATAATAATAATGAGTGAGCTTCAGTCCCCTAAATTAATAATAATAATAATACATATGTAATATGTAATAATAATTCAGAATGCTGCTACTAGTAGGCGCAGCCGATGGCAAAACTTCCAGTAAGGAGTCCACATGTTTACATCGCCGTAAGAGCACTTCTCTCGTGCTTGCTTGCATTTTCTCACAGTCAGTTGGGCAAATTTCTTTTTTCTAATCATGGGTCCTAAGAAAAAATATAAGTGCAAAGGAGAGTGCTGAGAAGAAAAAGAGGATGATTTCCATGGAATTAAAGCAAACTATCAGTTAAGTTCAGCAATCAAACAAAACAAATTGTATCATCACTCATCATATTATGGCCTTCATTCTAGAGTATATATCATGTTTCTCTGTTTATTATATTGTTTATTATGTCATATTAGATGAATTGTGATTGATAAATAAGACGCAGATTTGTTATATTGAAATATTTGTCCTGCCACTAGGATGCATTAATGGCATTTCAATTAATTAAAATGAGGAAAATTGATTTGATATACGAGCAAACTGAGTTACGAGCTAGGTCACGGAACGGATTAGACTCGTAAGTCAAGGTTCCATTGTAGTTGGAAACGAACCACTTGCAACCATCAATATATAAAAAATGTAGTGTGCATAAGTTTTACACCACACCAAAGAAAATAAGTAACAAAAAAGGAGTTAGATAAATAAGTCCAGAACATGACTAGTACAGGTTAAATTGTGTGTGAACATTAATCTCAGTATTGTACATGTGGAAACGATACTGTGAGGCACTCTTCTCTCAGTGCAGGAAGTAAGTTATTATTATTATAATTAAAACTAAGCACTAAACCACTGGGGTCATACACCATTGCAGGGCAGAGGTAGTAAGGGTGATGAGTGCTAAGGGAAGCACAATCAAAGGCTGTGTAACAAATCTCTTGCTGTCAAAAAGTAAAAGACGGAGTTTGTGTCAAAGGTGGGGCTTTCAGCAAGGAGGAAAGATAAAGTAAAGGTGGTAGAGCAGTGACAACGTTGGAGGTAAATTCTGCATGCTCACTGGCAGACTGGGCAGTCCCAAAGAATATGGAAAACTGAAATCGAAACCTGACAATTTGTACAAAGTGGAACTGGGCGCCTCTCCACGAGATACATATGAATAACAAAAAAAGGCACAATACTGTGACTGGAACGATACACAAATAACACGCACATGAGTAAGACGTGTGTGCCCGATGCGAGATGGGAAAATGTAGTCTCCCAACCATGACATCGACGATAAGAAGATCAGGATCCTAAACCTGGCTTGATAGTGTAATTTGTTATGAATCAATTCAGACCAAAGCTGTTGCCAATGGTTGTAAAGGTGGTTAGAGATTACAGCAAAATAGTCTGAAAATGGAATATCTCTATATGAAACTGGAAGGTCATGTACCGGTGACTGTGTAGTAGAGTCTGTTCGTTGCCCTGAACATCAACATGACCAGGGACCCAACAGAAAATGATTTCCTTGTTTTTGCTAGAAAAGTGGTGCAACCAAAGACCTAGGGGATGAAACAAATTTAATTTTTTGATAGCCTACAAAGCACTAAAGGAGTCTGAGACTATCACAAATGTTGAGGTAGGCCTGGACACAATATGGATAATTGCTATGAAAACTGCATACAGTTCAGCTGTGAAAATGCTACACGAGTCTAATAAATGACCTCACATGACACTGTCCGGGAACACTGCCACAAACCTGACACTGTCAGAGGATTTAGAACCATCAGTGTATGCTGCAACAGCATGAGAATGAGACTGGAAGTGCTTAAGAAAAAGGAAGTGAGAAGCCACTGTAGGCATCTGAGCTTTCACGCACAGCAGTGGGGGAAGAACAGACATGAACAGTCAGAACCTCCCAAGGGGAAAGAGAAAAGTTAGATGCTAGACGAACATATACAGGAGGCAACTGGGGAGAAGTCAAGAGAGTGTGAAGACGAAGAGAAAAGAGATCGAGTACACAGGGGTGGGGAACAAATAATGGGCCTCTACTAACGTCCATTACTCTCCTGTATGTAGAAGGATCATGAAGGTCATGAGAGCAGACAAAATAATGGAGCAATGGGCATCACGTTGATTGTTCAAGGATGGAACATTCGCCTCTGTACATAGGTTTCTCGACAGGGAAGGAGCAAAAAGTACCTAGACGTAAACATAATTCCTGGTGATGGATGGGATCGAGTTTAATAAGAGTTGCGGGAAAGGCCGCAGAATACATTTGGTCGCCATAGTCTAGTTTTGATAAATTTAGGGCTGAATGCAGTTGAAGGAGGGTTCAGTGATTCCCCCCCCCAATAAAAAATGAGCGAGGATTTTAAGAAGGTTCAGCTTGCTATGGTAAGTTGCTTTAAGAGAGATAATGTGAGGTTCCTAGGACAGCCAGCGATCAAACAGAAGGCTCAGAAATCTGACCATATCACGTTCAGGGATACGGGAGCCATACATGTACAATGAAGTATCAGAGACAACAGAAAGTCTGGTCAAAGTAATTTAATGCATTTTAGCACCAGGAAATTTCCTCATGAGTAGTGGCTCAATGGGATGCATGGTTGACATCATTCTGGAGTGAGGCTGCCTCTAGGTGACAGTCAATGCCTGCACAAGCTATGACAAAATCATCAACAAAGTGATGACCAAATATTAGATGAGAGAACAGAGGCCAGATCATTTGTAGCAAGTAGAAAAAGAATAGTGCTAAAGACATATCCTCGTGGGACACCTTCAGCTTGGATAAAGTCCGGGGAAAGCAAATTGTTAACTCAAACACAGAAATGTCTCTCAGATGAGAAGTTTTTTAGGATAAGTGACAGACTGCCTTGGAAGCCTAAGGAATGAGCTTGGGCCAAGATGTTATATCTCCAAATAGTGTCATATGCCTTTTCAAGTTCATAAAAGACAACAACAACTGAGTGGTTACTAGCAAAGGCATTACAGACATAGGTATTCAGCAGAGTAAAGGGGTCAACAGTGGAGTGGCCCTATGAAAGCCAAATTGACTAGTAGAGAGACTATTGTGCATCTCTAAATACCACACCAAATGTCTATTTACTAGACATTCCAATAACTTGCAAATTGCACTGGTAAGAGCAATGGAACAATAGCGTGAGACATCATGGGGATAAAGTTGATATTCTTGGGGTGAAATTTGACTCCAAAGTGACTATGAAGAACCACGTTGTAAATCTTGCAAAATGATCAAGAAGCTTACAGCACTTAAACGTATCTCACACCTCCTCGACAGTATAGGCTGAAGGATTCTGTACTAGGAACAAGTATGCTCACACTCTGAGGATGCTCCACTTTCTTGGGGTGCCTGCCCCTATCTTAACTGAGACTTTTAGACAATAGAGAACAGAGCAAGAGGCGTGTCTCTCGCCTGGACCCGGCCTAACAGGTATGTCATTTCAGCATAGCCTTCAACACCAGAGGGATGAACAAGGCCAATATTCTAAAAGTACTAATTATTATTATTATTATAATCAAAAAAAAGAAGCGCTAAGCCACAAGGACTATACAGCGCTGCAGGGCAGGAAGGAAGCGAGGGCATCAGGTGGCAAAAGGGAGATGGATGAGTAATAGGTTACGGATAACAGCGGGGTAGTGGATGGTGAAAGGGTAAAGGGCAGCAAGAGACTGAACTAGAAAGGGCTGAGGGGAGTGCGAAAAGTATCATCAGAGTTTGTGGAGTAAATCAGTCGTTGTCAAGAAGTCAATGAGAGAGTCAGGATTAAAGGAGGGTCCATCAGCAAGAAGGGAAGGTAAAGAGAGAGTAGTAGAACGAAGACGACGTTGGAGGTAAATTCTGCGTGCTCGTTGATAGAGAGGGCAGTCTAACAGAATGTGGCTAATCGATACTGGAACTTGACACTGCTCACAGAGAGGAACAGGGTGCCTCTCCATGAGATACCCATGAGTAAGACGAGTGTGGCCAATGCGAAGGCGGGAGAGAGTGGTCTCCCAACCTCGGCACTGATGACAAGAAGACGGCCAGTAACCTATGCTCGGTTTAATAGAATGAAGTTTGTTACCGAGCAGAGTTGACCAACGTTGTTGCCAACGGGTGAGAAGGTGGGTAGCTATTGCAGCAAAATAGTCCAGAAATGGAACACCTCGATAGGAAATTGGTAGGTCATGCACTGCTGACCGCGCAGCAGTGTCTGCCTGTTCATTGCCCTGTACGTCGACACGACCAGGGACCCAACAAAAAACAATATCTTTATGTTTGGTAGAGATACGGAGTAGCCAAAGTTAGATACGGAGAACTAGGGGATGAGATGTATCAAATTTTCGTATAGCCTGTAGAGCACTAAGGGAGTCTGAGACTACTACAAATGATGACACAGGCATAGATG